TTCAAAGGCATCCCTACATAAAGTGCATTGCAGTAATCTATGTGAGATGTTTTCAGTGCATGTGTAACTGTTATGAGACTCCGCTCGTCCAAGTAGTGCCACAGCTGGTGTAATTTCCGCAGCTTGGGCTTCCAGTGTTAGACTGGGCTCCAGGAGCACCCCCAGGCTGCGGACCCTGTCCCTTAGGGGGGAGTGTAACACCATTCAGAGCAGCGAAATGGCCCTCCAACCTGTCTGGTGAAGCACCCACTAACAACACTTCCGTCTTGTCTGGATTGAGTTTCAATTTATTAATCCTCATCCAGACCATTATCACGTCTAGACATGAGTTCAGCACAAAAACCGCCTCACCTGGATTGGTGGAAAACAAGAGGCAGAGCTGAGTATCGTCAGCATATTGCAGACTCCTCAGCCCAAACCTCCTGATGACCTCTCCCAGCGGTTCCATGTAGATGTTAAACAGCATGGGGGACAGTATCGAGCCCTGAGGAACCCCATGATATAAATGCCATAAGACAGAGCAACTGTCCCCCAGTACCACCCTCTATAGCTATAGCGATTCGTAAAACACCTGATTAAAACCTGATTAATGCGTTCCTATGGGCTTAAAACTCACAGTTCAGCAAAGATCCTCCATAGTGCGGCCATTTTCTGTGTCTGTAGAGCGAGGAATCCATCCCAGAAAACAGTGGGTGGCCATTTTGTTTACTCGGTGGCCATTTTGAAACCGCCGATCAGCTGTTTTAAAATCGTCGCTTTGCGATGCTCGGTTCCCGAAGCAGGGAACCGATCATCGAAAAGGGAAATTCCCCCACAGGGAACATTGTTTTGCGATCGCTTTTGCGATCGCAAAAAATGCGTCGCAAAGCAATTTCGTTGCAAAATGGAGCGCTTGCTAAGCGAGGCAGCACTGTCCTTCTCGATCATAGTATTGCTGAGCCAGATACCCCCCATCCTGTAACTTTGTATTTGTTTTTTTTCCTCCCCCAAGGTGCAGTACTTTGCACTTATCCCTGTTGAATTTTATTCTGTCCTTTTCAGTCCAGTGCTTGAGCCAATCAAGATCTTTTTGAATTTTGTTCATGTCTTTCAAGGAATTTGCCATTCCACCCACTTTTGGGTCACCTGCAGATATGATAAGCATTTCCTGTACTCCCTCATCCAGGTCCTTATTAAAACCTCTGAAGAGCATGAAGCCCAGGACTGAGCCTTGTGGTGACTCTCTTGCTATCGTCTCCCATTGATAAGCACTCCCTTATGATTCTGCAATAAACTCTGTATCCACCTAACATATGTAGCCCATAGCTTGCTGATAGAATATCATGGGAACTTCTTTAAAATCTTTGCTGAACTCAAGATATATTACAACTGCAACATTCTCGCCATCTACCAGGAAGGTAACCTGAAGGGAAAAAAAAATCAGATAAGATTAATCTGCCAGGATGTATCCTTGACAAATCCATGCTGGCTTCTAGTTATTACTGCTTTACATTGAACTCAATTGCACCACGTTACAATCTGCTCCAGAGTTTTTTCCAGGATTAATGTCTGGTCTTTAGTTCCCATGTTCCACCTTTTCCCCCCTTTGAAGACAGGGACAACATTAGCTCTTCTTCAGTCATCCAGCACATCACCCATCCTCCATGATTTCCATAAAATGGTAAAGTCAGTAGTTTTGAGAGTTTCCCAGCCAATTTCTTTCAATATTTGTAGATGCACTTCATCGGGCCCTTCAAGATTTGAACTCGTTCAGAGCAATAAGGCATTTATTGACTATTTTGTTTATCAATCTCAGGACGCGATCCTATCCCCTCTCTTTGTATTTAAGACTTGCCTGGAGGAGTATAGCCTGTCTTTTGAGAGAAGACGGAGCTGAAGTTGGAATTGAGCCCTTGTGCCTTTGTTGTTTATTATCATTTTCCCATCTCGTTTGAATAGATGAGCCACTATTACTTTCCTCTGCCTTTTGCTATACACGTGGAGCTGAAGTTGGAATTGAGCCCTTGTGCATTTGTTGTTTATTATTTTCCCATCTCATTTGAATAGATGAGCCACTGTTACTTTCCTCTGCCTTTTGCTATACACGTCCCTGAATAATGCTTTCCTGTTGCTTTTAGTATCTCTTGCTAACCTCAGCTCATTCTCAGCTTTTGCTTTGCTAATGCCCTCCCTGAATTTTTTTGCTACTTGTTTATACGAAAGATGGGTATTTGTATTCGTACACGATTTGTATATGAATACCTCCACACAACTTGAGTTAATGAGGGTCTGGACCACTCACGCACCTGCCATTACCACTGGCCCCGCTCGTCCTTCCAATCACTCTGGAGCGCCACTCCTGGCAGAAGGAGGGAAAATGAGTCTCCTTGCAAGGCTGAAGAGTGGCTAGCCAACTGGTTGCTCTGGAGCAACTGGAAGGCAGAGCAGGCCCAGCTCCGGTGGCAGATCCGTGAGTGGAGGGTCCGGCCTCACCTCCCCCACCTCAAGTCTGTACTCCTCCTTTGTGGCCTGACCTTCCTTCCACTGCCTGTTGGTGTCCTGCTTTGTTTTCAGGTCCTCTCCCCACTTTCTGTGAAGCCACATTGGTCTTCTTTGCTGTCTTCCCATCTTTTTCTCTTGTTGAAAACAAGAATTCTAGTAGAACATGGTCACACTCGCCCAGAATTCCCTTCCCACCATTTCCTACACCAAGTCATCCCTATTAGTTAGAAGCAATAACTAACCCTCTAGTTTCTCTACTTTTTGTAGGAGAAAATTATCAGGCACAAAAACTGGGAATTTCGTGAAGGGGGCATATTTGGTAGAAATTGTCTTCCAAAAGATATCAGAATAATTGAAGTCACAACTGACTAATATATCGTGTCTCTCTGAAATGCTTACAGTTTGTTTTCAGAAGTTTCATCCACATCCTTTCCTTGATTGAGGAGTTGTTTCCATTACCCTGTCGATTCATATTTACCTTCCTGAGCTAAGATTTCCAGTTCTTTTTGTTGTTTTCCCATACTTCGGGCATTCATATGTACAAATCATGGTCCCCAGTGATGGAGACTGGACTCCTGGCTCAAAAGACTTGAAAATCTACTTGTAGACTAAGGGAGGAACACCCGAGATGAAGATGCAAGAAACTTTTTGGAGACTAGGAGCCTTCTGTCATTATTAGAAACTGCCAGCCGCCAGCTGTCGGGATCTGCAAGATGAGGGGAAGTAGGGGTCTTGCAGATGAAGTCTCAGTACAGGAATTTGTAGATGAAGCCTCCCCCTCGCCCAGCAAGGGGGAAAGGAAAAGACAAGACACACAGGCATAAGGCAGCTGCTCTGAGGGAGGGGACCTCTCGATCTCTCGCCTACTCCTCTTTTATTGTATCCCCTACTCCATTTGCTCTAGTTAATCAATACTATTTTAACCAGAGGCATTTAATTTCCTGAATACACAGCCAGAATAACCAGAGTGCTGGTAAACAGAGCCAGGTAATTTCCTTGAATACAAAGGCATCAGTAAACAGAGTGGTTGGTAAACAGACAGGCTGGTAAACAGACAGTTAATAGTAAACAGACACAGATAACTCCAAATACACATTCCTGAGGTAGACACTTTAACTACATTTCCCAGAGACAATAGACAGCAGGTTAATGAATCATGTTACTGGAAGCTAGTCAGTTTTAGCATGAGGCCTGCCATTGCCACAGATATATACATTGTAACAGCATAACAGCATATATTTTCCCCACAGCCAGCTCCCCCTCTGAGTTTCTGCAGGTCAGGATGTAACCTCTGTTTCTAGTCATACTAGTGCAGATCATCCATGCTTATCCAGGCATCCCAGAATGAAATGGAACAGTTGACGTCATGTGTGACTTGTATGTGTCTCTTCTGCTTTCTCCTTTAGCTCTGCAATATCTTCCCAGCTTTAATGAACATCATTCCTGGGCCTCACCAGACACTAGAGACAATAGTCCAAAAGATGGAAGATTTTATTTTGGAGGCAACTGAACAGCATAAGGATACACTTGATCCCAACGCTCCACGGGATTTCATTGACTGCTTTCTCATTAAAATGGAACAGGTGGGTTAAACACTGACAACTAATATAGTTCTCTGGATAGAGTGTTGCGCTCGGACTTTGGCGATCTGGATTCAAACCCCTCTCTGACCATAGAAACCCATGAGGGAAGGGGTGGTGGGGAGGAGTCACAAAAGTAATGAAGTTGGAAGGAGCCTCTAAGGCCGTTGATTCTAACCCCTGGCTCAAGGCAGGTGTTCAGATCAAAACAGATCTGCCCAATGGTTATCTAAACTTCTCTAAAATGTCTCCAGAGTTGAAGCACTCACAATCTCTCAAGGTCAGAAAATCATAGAATCACCATAGGGATGTGAGGGTTGGTCATTGGTTTCATTGTTGTACTGCTCTAACAGTTAAGGAGTATTCCCTGATGTTCAGTCTAAATCTGTCTTCCTGTAACGTGAGCCCATTTTTGCATATTCGGCAATTTCGGATGGTCTAGAAGAGATCCTGTATGTCCAGTGCATAGACTACCTTTCAATTCTTTGAAAAGTGCTATCACATCTCTCCCCTCAGACTCCTTTTTTCAAGGCTAAACCTGCCCAGT